AGGTATCACTGTTGCACATTCCCAATGCAACAGAGCATGCCAGGAACAAATATACTATATTTAAGACGTTGTCTTAAGGTCACCCAGCTCAGGTTCAAGTACGGAGCAGTGGTGCTTTGGGAAAGGGCACTTGCACAGCATACAAAGATACGCTGTAGTGATCTTTGTGGCAATCTTTCAATGCTATTTTTTAAGCCATTCTCATTACCCATAATTAAAGTGTGTGGACTGCGTGTCTTATATTGAGTAGTAGGAAAATAGACCAAATAATAGGATTTTTGGAGTGTAGATTTTACTGTAAATTGCATTGGAGGTATACACTGTACACTGCAACAGAAAGGTCTGCCTACAGCCTGTGATTTTAATAGAGAGAAGACTGGAGTATAAAAGCTAATAATGAGGCCCTCAAGTAGGAAAAGGCATGAAGCGTGTCACCTCCCCTGGTTACCGAGCTAGGAGCATCACTGAAGTTATTTCACACAAGTTATTTGAAACAGATCAAGTGCAAAGCAGCAAAGACACAATTCAGCTAAAGGGAAAGGGTGAAACAGAGCCTGGGTGACTTCTTTCATTCACACAAGGACACTCAACATCTACAGTCCAGAGCACAAATATGACCCTGAAAATGGGTTGTAAAGCACCATGTCATACTCCTCACTCTCCTCCTTTGAAGGCAGACATAAAGTATTTGTGGTTAACAGCTTATAGATTCATGCTCTGTGTGTTAGTGCTGATTGCTCAGGTCTCAGCAGAGTGATGCACAGCCACTGCCATTCATCCAGATAAGGGGTCAGCCACAGCCACATTCCCAACACAGAACTCCAGAATGCCACTTGGTATTCAGCAACACTCTCTGCATCATGCTTCTTGCCCACGTAGCAAAAAGCACATTTAACAGAACCACTTGAAATACAGTGCCCACATAGTTAGAGAAGCTGACCGGATGGTTGCTTACTGCCTGCCACCCTGGTTTAAACAGTACTGCAAGGCTATGTACAGGAAGCTTGAAGGGCAGAACATTATCTTATAACCTGGAATTCAAACTCACTGACTTTATTAACACAGGTGAAGTTGCTCAGCAACCACATGCTAAATGAGACAGGTCAAGCCCCATGTGTTTGTCATCCCAGCCACATTCCGGTCATTGCATCAGTTCATTCAGCCAACACCCAGCTCAGGCTCAAGTGTAGAGCAGTGGCTCTTTGGGAAAGGGCATTTACACAGAGTACAAAGAGGAATTCTCTGAAGCAATCTTCCAATTGTATTTTTTTATTGCAAAATACAATTGTATTTTGTTGTTACCTATAATAACACACCGTGTGTCTCCTCAAAAAGCTTGGAACTGATGGTCATCTTTGGCTCCATAGAGAGGAAAAAACCTGAAAGTAAAAAGCCACAGAATAGTAGTATTTTACCAGGAAATCTGATGTATGAGCTCAAAATACCTGTTCTGTGGCAAACACCCTGCAAAGGCAGAGGTGAAGTTTCAGGAGATTGGCAACAGAAGGATGCTGTGCTCCCTTCTGGCCATCCCTTACCTTCTGAGTACAGGCAGTTCACTAAGTTTAACAGCTCCCTGTAACTGGTGCAATTATGTTCATGTCTGGGGAAAAAGAAAAGGCATACAGAAATGTGGCAACCAGAGCCATAGCTAGCTTTGTTAAGAGCTGGATTATGACCCTGGATTATGACACTCAGCTCACGCCAAGTCTGTGAGAGCAATAGAGATAAAGCAGAAGCAACTTGGTTTGATCAAAATTGATGTGTGAGTATTGGAAAATTAAACTAGATTTAGGCAAGGACTTTCCTTCTTCCAAGGTTGGGGGGATTTGTCCCCATATTGTGGATTTGTCCTTTCTAAAACACCTCTTATTTAGGAGGACCTCCCTCTTAGCCAGACAAGGTAAGAAGCCTCATTGCATAATTAAAATCTAACTCATTCTATCCCAGGAATTCAGCCAAGTGTTTGGGCACCTGACTCCATGTATTTGCAAGGTTTAGCTGCTGACCAGCACCCAAGAGAAACAGGGACTACAGGCGAGTTGCTCCCATTCCAAGTTCAAAGCCAGGTTAGCTTGTCATTACCAGCCAGAGACTGGGGCTTGGATGAATTCTTCCTATAAGCAGGCCCTTCTCCCAATACCCAGTGTTGCATTTTTGCAGTGTTACTACAACAGCTATTTTACTCTCAGAAAGATGCATGCGAGAAGGACAAAGAAAGAGCAAAGCAACTTGCAACACATTTGTCTTCTTTTTAATTCATCTCACCTCCAATGCAGTGACCGCACCATCAAGCATCCTGTGGCATTTCTGACACTGGCCCTCTGCTCCAGCAGACACTTCAAGCTCCAGTGCAACACAGGGCAGCATCCCAACCTGGATCCCCATCCACCTCTCAAGCCAGGGAGATAAGGCAGGCCCAACAATGTGTAGCACTTCTAGGGCAGTATACTTGCTGATTGCTTCCTTGACTATTGTTCACAACAACCAGCTAAGACACTGCCAAAGAAACACTCACAGCTGGCATCACACATGGAGGGAAGTTAAGGCAGGTTGGCTGAGCTCCTTCTCCTCTCTTCTCATTCACAGAAGGCAAGAGGCTGGGGACAAAGAAAAGGTTCAAGAAGCATTTGCAGCAGTACTAAAGAAAACCTCTTTCAAGGGAGAAGAGGCTTAAACATTCATTGCCAGTTGCCCTGTTCCTTACCCCCAAACTGGGTAAGGCCAATCTTGGGTAAGAATGACTGGTTAGGTCATGCATACGATATGTTAGACAGATAACTCACTGGGAACTCAGCCATCTGCAAATAAATGAAGAAGGGACTAATACTTACTTGTACTAAAGCCATTTGACTTTCCTATTAGACATATGGAACAGCCCGAGATACACAAGACAGGGTGTTAGCTAGCATTCCTGCAATCCTCAGTTCCTGGAAACACATGAACATGTGAGAGGACAACCTTCAGGGCAAAGCAATTCCTTCACTCTTGCATCATAGCCTCAAAAGCAGGTTATTACTCACAGGCCTCTTGTGCAACACTGGAGCACATAGGTAAAACATGCTGCATGACTGGCTTCTGGCAGCCTCTAGTTTCTTTCAGTGATCCACTGGCAACACAACATCTGTATGTTCTGAGACATTTCGGCCTTCTATCCCCCCTCCTAATGCACCAGGTTACAAACTCAGGAATTCGGTTTGTGCTTGGATAGCAAGACAGCGAGAGGTGAAATCCTCCATTCTTTCTTGCTATCCCAGTTTTGCTTACAGTGAAACTGTATTCCATATTCCAAGTCACCAGAAACCTGCTCTCCTGCAAAGAAAGGCATGAGGACCAACTGAAAGGCACGACCTGGAAACACTTCAATTCAAAAAGCCGATGTTGCAACCCCAAGCTGCTGGCTGTCACTAGGTCTCCAGAATGGCCAGCGTTTGGGAGCATATGCTTCCTTGAAAAGGAATGCAGTAACCCGAGATAAAACTGATGGGTTTATTGCAAGAGATAAAGGTTCAGTGGCTTCTATTGTACACGATGGCAGTGCAGGTGACAGGAAAAGCTCATGCCCTCTACATAAAATCAAAGGAGACTGAAAGAAAGTGCTGTAACTACACACCAATCAGACCAGTGCAACAGAGAACAGTAATACCCACCAGGCATGGTGCTAACAGAACATGGGCTCCATTCCCTGCGTTCCAGGAGTCAGCAGTGATTAATTAACAAACCACTTCTTGAGTGTAACCTCTTCAACCTGAGGAAGAAAGCATCAAAATGAAGACTGGACAACAGCTCCCACCTTCCTGCCCTGAAAACGCATCCCACCGTGGAGCTACCTGTCTTGGTTAAACAATGACCTAATCATCCCTCCAACATTTCCCATCAGGATCAGAACAAAACAGACTATCTCAAAGGCAATTAACAGGTCAGGGACAAGCACAGCTATAGGAGAGCAAAACAATCTGGTACAGAAGAGGAAGATACTGCTTCATCTTTCATTCTCCTCTGGGGATGTATGAGACTGCAGAATTGCTGTTTTGGGAACTTGAAATCTCTCCTCTGAGCTAGTAAAAATCAAGCATGTCAGGGCCAGGGAAAAGATGTTTTGGGGAATAACCCTGTATCCGTGCAGCAGGATAATGATCCTGCTTTTCATTCTTCAGATCCTTTTAGCTCCCCTCTTGCTTGCTGCCTGAAAGAATTCCTAGTGCTTTAGGAAAGAAGGAAACAACTCATCCAGCTCAAACCGTTCAACAGGCTGGGAGAACATGGAGCAGCAAATCCACCCTTGTGTTCAAGCCTTATGGGAAGGGCAGCCCCAAAAAACATGTGACCAACACCCAAAGCACAAGAGGGAGTGCAGCACACTGCTGTAGTACTGCTCAGCTGGTCCAAACAAATCTACTCAAGCCTTCATCTGCAAGGGGCCAGCATCCTAGATGCTAATGTCTGTCTCGGATAGAATCCATTGAGCAGCCAAAGATCGCAATAAATCTAGACAATATCTATTAAATTACTGCAGCTCGTGATGGTTTTCTATGGTACAACCCAAGACATCAGCTGAATGGGGCTGCTGTACTAGGCACGGTACAGTGATATAGTAGAACAACGCATCCCTATACCCCTCAAGAGCTTATTCTGCATTAACATTAACATCTGTGTTGCACAAGACAAGGTATTAATTCTTTCTCCCAAACCACTGCAGAGTCATCTTAGACAAATCACCATCTTTCCTTCATATGGGCAACAATCTTCATGGTGTTAAGTATAAATGAAACCTCATCACAAGCAGGTGTACAGGAGCATCTTTCCCCCCCACCTGTTGATGCACCAGGAGAGAACATACAGGGCTACAGGTCTAAGTTTTTAATTACATGAGTCTGGGATAATACAGATGGGCATTTGTTCTCAAATATGAAGTCCACAAGTGTCCTTCACAGGTGGAAATAGGATTTACCATCATGTGGAAGCCAAACAAGCTGGCAATCAGGCAAGGATCCTTCAAGTTCAAAAGCTAAGCAGCAAAAGCTAAAGGAGAGAAAGGCATTCCCTCTTCAGAGACCTAGAATCATTTAACTGATTTCTCACTGCTGTGGCTGCAGAGAAAGCAAGTATTTGCAATACAGTAGACAGTTATCCAGGTCTTGAGATTGCTCTTACTTCAAGGTGGTCAGAAGCTGCATTTCTAGGGATGACTGACTTGGGAACAGCTCTCAAGTCTTACAGGGAAACCAACAGTTGAGCTAGTTTAGAGTTACGAGAGACCTCTGCAAAGGTGCTGGCCAATAAGCTGTTTTCATGTCAGCAGCTTGTCTAACAGCAAATCCTTTTCTCCTCCCTTAAAGCTCAAGTACCTGGTAAATTTACCACCATTGGGCATTTATGAAAAGCATCCTGTATTAGGGAACTTTGACAAAATCCATCAATGACACCATCATGTGTATTAGCATCCCTGAGTAAAGGCCAGAGGTGCCACTTGAAGTTTACATGGTTGTGCATGTGTAATTGAATTTGCCAGTTAAAGGCTCAGAGTTTGCCCCAGAAAGGCAATTTTCCCTGTAGAGAAAAGCTAACACATGATGCGTTTCGCTTCACACTGGTCCTTGGGGTGCTTTTCCTGAAGAGATGTGACCCAGTCTGCACAAATCACACCAGCTCACATCCATCCTGTGTTAGTGCAGTGGTTAGATGCAGATCTGTGCTTTATCTGTGTAGGTAACAAAGCAGCAGGATAAAAAACTGATGAATCATGTAACAGTACAAGGAATTAGCCTAGAGAGAGATCACTAGTGTAAAACAACCAAGCTGATGGGTGTGGAAGGTGGAAATACTCTCCTGTTACAGAAATACTGCATTCCAAGAAAGGTAAGAAGTCTTGCCAGGTGAGATCTGCAGCAATCCTTTTGTCATCACTAAAATATGTGACACCATAAGCTTCATTTCATTAAGCACGTTGATATCAAGTTCATTCCCTGCATTGTGTCATCCTCCTGTTGTCAGCAAGGGGAGTTTTAAGCTGTGACTGACCTAGTGACTGAAGAACTACACAAAGTTTCTCTGAAGGTTTAAAAGCCTGAAGCAAACAGATTCTCTGTTACTTCTTGGTTTAAGGCAAAAAACACTGAATTTTCATCTGTGAGATTTGTGGGTGGAACTCAGCAACGGGAGAAAGCTTGAATGAAAGAGGTGAAATGATAGTTTGAAACTTCAGAAGGATTTAGGTTGAAAGAGATTCCTGGATATCAGCTAGTTCAGCGCCTATTTTAAACAAGGCTAACTTCAAAACTAGATTAAGATGCTCAGTGTCTTTTACACAGGTTGTTTTGGTCAACCTTGCCTATTTCTAAACCATGGAATTAGAAGTAATATCAAACCAAGTCTATTACACTTATCAGCATGAGCTGGCATCCCAGTGTAAAATCATCTTAAAGCCACTAGTGGTGGTTGCTGAGCAGGAGCAAATCCTCTCCTTTCTCCCAAAGGAAGTGTTGGTCTTTCCTATTATGAGCTTCAAGGCAGGAGAGGCAGTGCCTTGCTTCTCCAAATCCAGTCAGTTTTCCTGACTTACAACATTAGGGACAGTTTTCCCTTTCTAAGATAAGAATACGTTTGATTAATGCTGACTTTGATTTGGTACAAGCCCTGTGATACGTGGATCCTGACTTTTGGGTTAGTATCTCCAAAGATTTTCACACTAGGGCTGTACTATTCCATTATCCCATCTCCTGCTGCAATTCCTGTGACATGCTACCAAGTCAACCAGAAAATGGTTCTAGGCTACAACTCTTGGCGTTGCTTATTAAGCAGTATCATACTTTCCCTGCCACTTTCTCCTCCAAACGCCCTGTGACATCCTAATTCCCCAAACACAGCAGACAAGCTGCTCAACAGCTGCTGTTTGCCTTTCACTTAATCACACAGCAGAAACTTTCCTTATGAGATGTATAGACACGACCCTAGATAGCAAAGATATTTACCAGTGTCTTCCAGTTGTGCGGTAGGAGATGATCCAGCTGGCAGTGGTACCCAGAGTCCATCTAAGCTCCCAGGGGACCCCGACTTTCTGCTGCTGGGTTTGATACAGCTCAAGCAAGCTGAGGACAGGCTCCAGAGCGTGTAGACACCTGCTTCATCGTTCAGACTCTGCAAACTCAGCCAGTTCCTGCTTTCTTGATAGAGCTGCGACTCCACCCCGCTCCCTGCCACCACTCCTGCAGGCCGACCTCGCAGCTAATGAGGAAATGGGACAATAGCTTTGCAGTGAGTCACAAACTGTCTAAACCAGAACTAAGAGAATAGACAGAGCGAGCAATCCCTTTCTGTAAAACACAGCAAGAGAGGCAGAAATCATGCAAGATGGGCGATAGAATGACAGGGGGAAAGATAGAGTCCTAGTGAGCATAGCTACATGTAGGACGTCTAACCCTACTGATGTCCAGCTCCTCTGTTCAGAGGGACACTGCCATTTGGGCAGCAGGCTATCTTCACCTTGCAGGTGACAAGTAGAAAAGCAGCAGCAGTTTCATAGCCCTGGGATCATGCTGCAGGCAGAAGCCAGAGCTGCTCACAGTAGCTTTTTCCCCAAGCTTCCCCACACTCAGAAGCACAAACACCCTCAGATATAACAAGGAGAATTCAGGCAGGAGATCAGGTTATTCCATGACTGAGATCTGCAGGGCAGCTACGTTTGTCACTTGTCTGCTCCACAAAACACAGATATAGTCCCTAAACATGGTACAGTTACGGGGACTATGAGGAAAATCTAGAGCATCGGTCTCCTCCCATTCCTTAAAAAGCATCATATTTAAAATCTACCACATCTCCCCGAACTGAATCTTCATTTGGGATCTCTCTGGGCACGCTAATATTGCTGGCTTACGCAATATTAAATCTCACATCACACCAAGATAAAGCAGTGGAATTAATACACACACCACTTACTGCATTTCTCCATATACTGTGCATTAGGAAACGTGCACACACAGTACACCAGACATATGCCTTCTTCCACAACAGTTAAAGAATTAATTCTTTGCCAGATCCAGTGCAACTTCTTCCTTCCTTTCAGAAGTCATTTTTCTTTTTACATGAAGACAAGCAAAAAGCCCTTTGCTCTCCACAGTCTAGTAAATTCCATTCTTCCCCTTGTAACACCACTATTTAACAAACCTTTCATTACCTATTTTTCCCATCTTCCCTCCCAAATCAGATCAGAGATGTCCAGCAGCAACATCTGAACACTGACTGCAAGCTCTTTAAAGCAATCCAGTCCCACTGGCCAGAAATGCACCTAGGCCTTGTGTTACCAAGACAGCAGACACACTGTCCCATTTCACACCTTGAACTTGCTGCATGTTATCCCTTCCCTTTACACAATTGCCTCCCTGTATCTTATCTAACTTAAATAAAACACACAGACTGAACCCAAAGGTTTAAGGAGAACAAAAAATGTGTTAATCCTGCTCTGTGGTCAGCTGTCAAATACCATATATATTGGTTCTCCTCATATAGCCTCTTAGAGACGATCTTTAAGGAGTTGTGATTTTGGAGCTTACACCAACAGTTCACAGTTCTGCCAGCAGCTTTGCTAGCTACTGCATCTACGTAAGTGCCATTTATCTGTAGTGTAGACATGCCACAGCCATTACTTTCCAGCAGTGAGCTGTGCAAAGCAGTAAAGCACAGTGGGGAGCCCCATCCAAGGCTGCAATGCTGCTGTAGCTCCTGGAAGCAAGGTTACCCCTTCTCCTTGCTGCCTCCACACTGCAGCAGTCAGTATAAGCTCAGAACACGAGGCTGTTCAGGGCTTCTGCTGATTCAGTACCTTGGGAGAGGCCTGGGCAGAGTCCAGTGCGCTGCAGATTTCAGATAACTGGAAGCCACACGTAAGCACCCATGAGTCATTAACCAAGCAATGTGCAAGCATTAGCCATAGATCATAAACCCAGAGGCACAGCTGTCAGGAGCCCCATGTATACTCTAGCATCTCAGTCTAAAAACCCCAAATCCCTGTGGTTATAGCCTAGACGGGCCTGGGAAAGACAAGTTTATCCAACCCAAGAAGTTCCTGGCCCTCAGTTCAGTCTGCTTGGACAGAGAGGATGCTGCTGATTCATAGCAGAGATGTTACTGTCATAGCAGTTCTGTCCTTGCTTGTTTGTTAAGGTCAGGCTCCTCTTTTAACAGGACTTTGAGGGATCTTGATAGAATCCTTCTATGAAGGACATGCCTCTTTCCTTTCACTCACGGTCAGACCCACCTATTCGTACATCTTTGCCTCAAAGCAAGAGGCAAAGTGTCAGGACAGGGTCTGCTGCCTGCAGGTAATGAAACAGCTTCCCCCTTGTCTGAGCTGCACTAGGGAAATGTACAATTTGATGCCCACTACTGCTCAGTCAGCCGCTCACCACAACCACCAGAGAGCATTGCAAGAGTCCCATGCACCACCGGCTGAAGCTGTCACCATCCTCTGCACTGAGAGATGCTCACCAAGCACCACCGAAGCATGCAGGGGGGTTTGAAGATCAGGATTATCATCAGCATGTTATCTGGCCCTCTTTTCTGCCCAAGGTGATGAGCTATACACTGACACACTGAAGCTGAGAATACATCAAACTGAAGGCTTGAATTCAAGTCCCACAGTTGGGTAAGCCCCTTCAGCTGAGTGCCTCTTTGGAAACAAAACAATGGCTCGTGTGTTATTAACTTCTCCCCACTTGCATTAAGAAATGGTCTGCACCCATTACTGGAAGATTACTGGTGTTCTACCTTCAAAATACAAGGAAACAGACTTGCTTAAAGAATAGGCTAGCAGGCTTTACTGTATGGTCAAGATCCCAGCCATACAAAGAGAACTGGTAAAGAGACATTCTCTCTATCCAGCTGTAGAGAACAAGCAGAAACAACTGTGGTTTATATGAAGGAGGGTTCACATCTTTTCACAGCAAGAAAGCACTGATGCTTTGTTTCTCATTTAAATGAAGCCACAGTATAAGTGAATGCAAAGAAAAGAATTCTCCACATCTGCACTAAAAACTCCTCTGGTTCCCCATGCTTTGAGACAAGGTGCATGCACTGAGGTGTCAATAGGCCAGGACAGAAAAAAGCTCTTTTTTCACTATTGGCATAAAATCTGCTATAGTATCACTTATGTTACAAGCCTATCCATCCCATATGATACAGGACAGACTGAAACAGAGCAAGGTATTAACATTTTCAGAGGAGCTTTTCTTTTCCTGCCCTGACCAAACTTCCTCCCTAAAGCTTATCCATAGTTTTATCTAGACAGACAGTTTTGTCAGCATTTTAAGTGAGAATTTGGAACTAGATGAACTTTCCAACCCTCACTATTCTATGATTCTATGAAACCCACAAAACTAAGTTTAGAGAATCTCAATTTGGAGTCAAAGGGGTGAAGTAACAAGCAACCCTAGCATCACTGCACCAAATCCAGTGATGCTGCTCAAGCAGTGATTTTATCCTCATGTTACTGCTCTAATATCACTCACCTCTCCTATACATATTTTGTGTGTGTGTCTCAGCTTTCTGGAGCTATTTAAAATAGGTCCATTTACTTTCTCTTGGGGGATAAAACACAGAGTGAAGTGACAAGACAGAAGCATGGTCACCAGAACTGCCTCTACTCCATCCTTATGTCAGGTGCAGAGAGCAGCAAGCAGGGAAGATAAAAAGGAGCCTCATTTCAGAATCCTTTGCCCCTCTTACCCTGCTTGGAATTTAGGCTGAGCAGGTCATTTCACAGAGCCCTGAGCCAACAGTTTCACTGTCCACGTGGCTTTGTTGCTGTTAGGCCTGAAGCAGAGTCCTGGGTGCAAGCTCATCCACAAGATGCTACTCTATCAAACTACAAGTTCTCCAAAGACTGGAAAAGCTGCAGTCTGACCAATAAGCACACTGAACCATCAGTGTTAAAAGGTTAAGGCCCAATCTGAAACTCCCTGCTGCAACCTGCAGATGTAAACGTGAGCAAACATAACTCCTTGTTTGAATGATGCCCCATTAGCATCGCTGGTTGCCAATACCATCAATGGTGAAAGAAAAGCAGTCACTAGAAGAGAATGGCATTCATCATCACAGGTTTACTTTCAGGTTCTGCATAGCTCTGGTCTACTAAACAAAGCAAAAAAGGTCCTCACAGCACTTAATTATGAAGCTAATAACAATCAACCAAACTCACCCTCAGTAGGTGGAAACACTGAAACATGTTGGCACATGTACAGCTAATAAAATACCAAACCAGACTGCACAGAGGACAGGTAGGTTGCTTGCAAGTGAATACATTTTATATCAGAGACATAAAATGCCAGTACAGATGGGCCTGTCTTTGAAATAGACAAAACCTTCACATCCATTGACCCCATCTGCTCTGCTGAGATGGCCCTGAAATGTAGCAGGGAAATGATGCCAAACCTTGAGCTCAAATCTGGGCTGATGCAGGTGATTAACTCTAACAGACTGGTCCTTACCTCTGATCTCAAGTGACTCCTGGTGTCTTTTTCAGTTCTAAATGCAGCAAGCTCTTTGTAAGCAATGGAGAGGCCATCTCCTAAAGTAGTATCACAGTTACATAGATAATCCCACTGACAGTTTGCACAGACACCTGAAACCTCATGGCAAGTGAGTGATGCATTAACAGCCAGATACAGGTGATGCCAAGCTTCACTTTGCCAGTGTGCAGGAAGCCTGAGCAGGGGCAGTGGGGAGCAAAGCCAAGCACAGAGTAACAGCTTTCTTTCCCCAGGTGATAGCAGCATCTGAGCTGTATCATTTATTACCAAATGAATGCAGAGGCAACGTGTTGAGCCAGGTAACAGCGCTGGAAATAGGATGGAGAGGATAGCGTGTGCCAAGGGTAGCAGGAGAAGGGAACAGCTGCCAGCTCCTTGCAACGAGCAAGGAATTAAGCATTTAACTTCCATGTTCCTCTATGTAAATCCTAGACATGACAATGAATCACAGAGTGGCTAATAGCACATCAATTCAGTTACCTTGTCTCCTGATGTAGAAGCTAACTCATCAGAATCCCTTACAGCTTGCTAGATTCAAGTTACTAAGTAGCATCCTCAGCCTTCTCTGTGTGGCTGCAGCGTGTTCAGATCGCGTGAGCTTTTTTGGGTGCTATCACTTCCTGGGATCCCTCAAAAACCAGACACCAGTATCCCCAGCTCCAAAGGGCATTTGTGTATGAAGGGCTTGAAGGGAGGGGGCTACAGAAGAGGGAAACAAGAAAGAAAGGAAGGGAAAAAGAAAAGGAAAACACCCTGTACCCCGACATGACAGACAAGCAAAGGCAGTTACCGTAATATTCTCCTACATGAATTCCAAGACCTCTGAAAGCTCACTTCTCTGTGGAGTTTTATGCAGACCACCACCACCTTCCACAGCCCCACTCAGCCACAACGGGGCTCTGCAGAGAAGCTGGCAGTGTGTAACACAGGCAAACACACACAGCACATCTGCAGGCACAAGTACAGACACACACAGACTGCGCTTACCTGGACAGACAGGAGGGCTCCGGCTCAACAGACTGCTGCTGGGGTCTCTCAAGGAGGTCTCATCGGCAAAGCAGCTGCAGACTGCACAGGCAGATCCTCTTTGATCCACTGGGATCCCTGGGATCGCAGAGACAAAGGCAGGCTCAGGCCTGAACAAGTCCAGACAAGCCCTCAGCAAGCCTCTTCCTGAGTTACAAGAGCAGCCAGCCCTCTGGGTGTCAGAGCTGGGTACCACAGACACCTCCCGGCCTGCAGCGGATACAGAGAGGTCAGCACTCACCCATTAAAGGCAATACAGGACCTAATTCATCCCAGTGCAGCATCACTGATTTCAGTGGAACCGAAATACGCTGAACAGGAGCACTTCAACTTCAGCACACTTGTGCCAGGGCTGAATTTAATCTGGTTCACGGAAAACAGCCCACATTAGGAAGAATGCAAGGTCCCCCAGGATTCTCTCTGTCAAAGGAATGTAACCCACAACTTTGCAATCACATCAGAGGCTCCCAATAACTGGAAAAAGTGAAGTGGCCACCGAGAGATGTACTGCAGCAGTAACACCAGATACCTATCAGTGCAGGACCCTGGATTTAAATGCACACAGCAAACCCACCCATCGGGGTCTGGAGGCTTTCCTCCTGCCAACCCATGCAGCTTAAGTCCACCTACCCCAAATATACCCCCCCTTCGGCCTCCCCAGCACTAATTCTATTACACATGGCAGGGATGCAGAGGGAGGATAAGGCATCTCCAGAGAAGCACTTATTGTGCACAGCTGGTTAATAGCAAGCCCTTCAGAGGCAGAACTGCAGTGAGTCTGCTGAGCAGCCTTGACCCCACAGTTTTTCCTTGCCTTTGTATCAGTGAGTGTTCACATTCACTTTGCTTACTAAAGTTGCAGGGCCAGATTCAGATTTCAGTGCAGCACAAGCCCAGAGTAACCCTGATGACTTCCTGAGTGACTCCACGCTTACCTGCTTGAGGAAGTTGAGTATTTAGCCCATTAAATCCACCCATGATAACCTAAGAAAAAGCCTGCATGAAGGAAGCCAAATGTGCAGATTTGGGTTTCCTTTCTAACCAGACCACCCAATTCTACAGCATTTTCAACCAACCGTTAGCAGAGCGCCTCTGAGGCTTCCAGTGCCCACCAAGGTGAAGCCAACTTACACTGTGGCTGTCCCCTGCTGCTGCAGCAAACGGCCCTTCCCTCCAGGTCCCCTTGCTTCCCTGCCATGTGATGAAGATGCAGCTAGGGGAAGACAAGGGGGTGAGAATACACAGTGAGTGAGGGGGTATCTTCAACAGCTCCAAAATATTCTTTTTCTTTCCTTTTTCAAAATGCATTTCCATATATGTACTTAAAAAATAAACTAACCTTATGCACAGACTGCCCTATGCTTGTACCACAGGGGATGAGCCCATCACTCCTTTCTCCCACATCTTGCATGTGGGAAGGATGCAGAACAGAGTGCTCTTGGAAAGGAGCATTGAACAGTGTTAATAACAGCAACAGGCAGCGAAAAGGAAGAGTTCTGCATTTCCTCACACCACCCACCAGGGCGCTCCTACCTGATGAGGCTGAGGTTTCCACCTTCCCCAGACTTTTAAACTGGCAGCTTCCGAATAAGATAGTGATAAAAGCCCCAATAGCCAAGCTCTAAGCACCGGTTCTTTCCCATGAGACAGCGGAGAGCTCTCTGCAGCCCAGGATATCCCAGCATTTCCCCACCCAGCACCCTTCACAGTTCCCACCTCATAACACACGTTCAGAGTTGGATGCAGAAGTTGGCTGATTTGGTGCAAATCACAAGTGAAATGTGTCTCTGAGTCTCTGCTCTTCAGTTTATATGGGAAGCAAATGTAAAAGCTGCTACATTCAAATACTAAAAGGAAGTACATAAGGCAGGTTCATCTCTAAACTAATAGTTCCATCATTTATATAAGAAATAACAAGAGATTACTTGCTGAGGCAGCCACGAATGGGAACTGATTGTATCCTTAACTTTGGATGTGCTCCAAAGACCAAAGTTTTCACAAAGCATCAAGTATCCCCCACCTAGAAAGAGTCACTGTTCTGAAATGGCTGGTTTTTATAAGCCTTCCAAACAGAGAAAGCAATAGTCAAGATATCTAACCAACTTCTGAAGAGGCACTGTGAAATGTGCACATACATTGGTCACACCAGGCTAATACACTGTGGCACAGCTCTAACAGTGCTCCAGGGATCAAGCAGGCCTACAGCCTCTTCCCAGAGAGAGATCTTTCATATTTTCATGGTGGAACTCCTATAGTTCTACACACGTTCACCCCAGTGCCTGCCAACAATGGACAATAGCACACAAGTGTAAGGGACTACAACCAGCCTTTGGGCTAACAAAGGGAAGAGATGTGCCAAAGCAGTCCTCTGGCACTCAAGTGAGAAAGCCTGGTACCCAGGAGGAGAAATGGAGTCAGTGACTCAGCTGTGCTCTACCCATACAGACCTGGATAAAAGAAGGCCCTTTAAACTGTGTGTTTCTGCCAAAGCTGGACTTGTTCCTATGTCTGCTGCTTCTCCTAGCTGCTTTCTTTTCCTCCCCACATATTGCAGGGCTCCTTTCAGGTCATGCTGCAGCCCTGAAGAGCAGGAAAGGCAAGAGTAAAACAAATGTATCCTAAACATGTTCCTTTTTATGCCAACAGAAAGACGAAAGGTGGCTGAAGGTACCAGGTTGCATAGGGACAGCTTGGATTAATTTCTACTCTTGTGTGCATGCAATTACTTCTTTTCCCCATTCATTCTAAGCTTTGAGATCTCCCCCATCCTCTTCAGCCCAGAGCAGCCTTGCAGGATGCAGCACTGCTGGTGAGGGATGCTCTGCAGCACACAGGCTGCAGCACAAGAGGAGGCTCCTGGGTGTGCACCTCTGGCCGTGCCAATCTCCACATCACAGGTTGGGGCATGTCTGAAAGCTCCCTTCAAAAGCAAGGTCTGAAGCCAAACCCCTGAGGTTGGCCAAGCATGGGTGGGTATTAATCTGACAGGCCCCAAGCAGATTTAGTGGCTGCAAATATGTTCCTATTCACTGCTGGGCAGGAGCACCACAGGAACAAGCAGATTTTGAGACACTTAATAGCTGAACAGGAAACTTCAGCTGAATGCCCTTAAATGCAGACATTTGGAAGCCAGAATCCAAGGCTTCCTACAGGCATGCTGGTACCAATTTACTTTAAGGACTTGCATCCTACCATTCAAGGGGCAACCACTGCCTTTAACCTGCACAAGCCATCACCACTTCAAAACCAGGATCCCATCCACTAAAGGGACCCGTTAAGGATGGGTCTCAGTGATGAAAGCTCTCCAGAGCATGGAAACAGCAAGCAGCAGCTGAGCTACTCTTGCTGTCATTTCAGCTCAGCTTATTCTTGGTGAGCATTTAGGGCCCTGCTGATGCTTGGGGAGCACTTGAACTGCTCTCACTGATATTGCCCTTATTGTTAAGCCAAGCTGCCTTCAGACATAACTTGATTACAGGGTAGGAAGCTCTTCCCATAGTGAAATGAGATGCTGCTGCTTGCTCTTTACAGCAGCAGAGGGAAGCAGAAGAGCCAGTGGCTAAAAGCCAGCACCAGAGGTTCAGTTTAAAGTAGGCAGGAAAACTGCATTAGGGACTGAAACTCAGCACCTAGGCACACAGCAAGTTATTTTCTCTTCAAATCAAGGTGAATCTGATGCTCTGGCTCAGCCCAGTAATCTAGCAGACTAACGAAATGAATTATCACTGCTTAGACAACAGATTCCTTTAGATCCCTTCTGTCCTCAAACCATAGGGAACTATGAACTGAAGGTAAATTTACTTTAACTCACATTTTACCTTTACAGTTATCTTTAATCACAGTGACATGCACTAGATGAACCCTTGTATTGTGCACAGGCGTTGGCAGTAGGTTTTAATGCCAGAAAAGAAAGAAATATATGTGCACAGAAATATTACCTGCTACCTGCACTGAGTGTCAGTGTGTTGATCCTCACCCTGCAGACATCATGACACCAAGTTACAGCTTCACCTAGCATGGCTAAGAGTATTCACAGGTAATGTGGAAGGAAACAGCAGTCTCAGTGCCTCCCTTTAAGTTCCCCATCAATTCCACCCATTTCCCCTCAATGATACCACTATGGAGGCAGATTCATGAACACTTAGGCAAACTGTCAGTCACAAGTCACTAATACGTGACTTCTCTGCCCTCAGAAGACATCTCCTTAACATATAGATAGCAACATTCTTGGTAAGCAGGAAAAAACCAAGGCTTTCCCCAAAGTACATGTTTCCAGATCTCCATTGCAAGGCCAGCTAAGCAGAGGACTTTGTAGCTATCCATCTGTGAGGAGCAGAGCACCCACTCACCTGAACTGCAGCAAAGTGAACAGTGAACAGCAATACTGCATGTACACCACCAGTTACTGTGCCCTACTTACTACACAAACACCTTGTGTCTACTGAACAGGCCCTTTTACTTTGTACCACCAGCTTTTCTCAGAGGTGAAGTAAAACAGGACTGAAAGCCCAAAGCCTTCAGACAAACCTGACTAACCCCAATAACCTGTTTTACATCTCCCATTGCAGAAATACTTTGGTTAGCATCTAAGTTGGGAAACTTCTGCAGCAAGCGAACGTGGAAGGCATCCAACTGCAATGTCATATGTTTGAACAAGTTCCCTTAGCTAAGGCAATGCCATGCTCAAGCAGAGCTGGATTAACTGTCCGTGTGTACAAGCTAACAGCCTGGATTAACAGGAGTTAACACAACAAATACCAGCTCACACTGAGGGAGTGTTAGCCTGGAATCAGCTGCCACCTCTCCTACACCATGCTCTAAGAGTACAAAGGCACATTTCACCTACCAACTCGAGATAGCACTGCTGGGGTCTAAACACGTCATTACTTCACTCCTGCACATAGCTCTGCTGAGGTTTTTACTTGCAGCAAGTGTGGCAAGGGCTGAAGACCAAGCCCCATGAACCAGCTGGAACTTCAACATAAGCATAAGGGAGGTTCTCAGGCTGCTAGAGCAGCACAGGCTGTCGTGGACTCACCGATGTGAAAACTCAGACACAGGTCCAGCTCTGCTCTGCAGATACTTTCTCCCTATGCTGTCTTCTGGCATCATGCATGCCTATACATGCATACTT